GTATTTTGCTTCTCTGTGTGTAATTCAAGATGGTTAACAACTAAGGTAGTAAAGTACAGTGGAAAGAAGGGGACGAGGAAGTGTAACAAAAAAATAGCAAGCCAACACAAAACTATTAAGATTAGTAGCTCCCACCTCCCAACATGAACAAACCCCATAGAGACAGAAGGATAAACATCAGTTTTGGGAAAGCCAAGCAGTAGAGTCCATCTCTATGACCCCGAAGCTTTCCTAAACAGGAAGATATTAATGCTATGGCCGAAGACCAAGATGGAAAAGTAAATCAAGCCCCCCAGGCTTCCAAAGTCTGGATACAATGGGGGTGAAGGGAAGCTATCTCATTCCTTTCAAATATCTTTGCAAACAAACAAACAAGCAAACATCTGAATGTTATTTTAACATTGAGGTCGGTGCTTATGACAGAAGGCAATTATCTTTTCAGGTATCCTGGTATAATCAAGGTGCCAGTGCATTCTTTTCAGCGATGGGTGACATTCTCTGGATACCTGCCTCTGGTCAATAAGCTTATTGGCCACTTTGGCATAACAAGATGCACCTTCAGACACTTCTCAAAAAGAGCCACATCACCTTCCACTAACTATGGGTGTCAGTGGTGCCCAGCCTAAGCTGAACCAGGTTGGCCTGTCACCTGAATGCTTAGATCTCAAATCTGAACTTCCAAAGGGAGTGCTGCCTTCGTGTTTATAAAGGGATTGCTACTATATCCCCAAAGGAAATGCTATCCATCTAGCACAGGCTGAACTCCAGTTTCCAGGTTGGTTCCTCTGCTGAACATCAACATCTTTTCCTGGACTGATTTTCAGTTTGAAAAGGAAAAAAAAAATCTAAGGGTTACTCTTTGGGAAATTGTGCTGTTGCTGTTCATGGTTCCCTGTGATGTGCCTTACTTCACTAGTAGTTTATTAGTCGTTTCCGGTGTATAGATTTGGCATTTAAAAGGAGGGTATAAATTTAATACATTGTTCCTAAATATTTCAAGATTAGAGAAGGCAATCCCTGGTTGCTTTCCCCTTATTTGTACTAATAAAATGCATTAAAAGTTCCCTACCATAAATGCAGGCCATGTTTGCTTGTTTGATTAGTTCTTGTTTGCACCATTTCTGTTCTACCTTTCTTCTGATACATGGCTCTCTAACTTTCGTATATGCATTTGGCATAACAACTTTGTGAGGTAGGTCAGTGTAAGAGACCGTGACTGGACCGTGGTCACTCAAGTAAGTTTTATGGCCTAGTTATTTGTAGCTGGCACTTCTAAAAATGCCCATTCTCTGTAAGGTCTTTGTCTATCACTTCTGCTAAAGGTACAAATGCCCTTGGCTAATAACAGATGCTGTTTTTTTCTCCAAAATTCTCCTGCTTTCTGGAGTTAGAATGAAGTTCATTTCAATCTCTTCCCCATCACCACTCATATGCCCTGAACAGATCACCAGAAAATATAGTTCATTATTTTCCAGGGTGAATTCCATGCAGTGTTCTCTGCTATAATAAGATTCTGTATTAGATACAGTAATTCCTTTAGGAGTTCTGGGATGCTGCCAGAAATTTTGAACTTTGTAGTGGCTTTCATATCTTATTTAAAATATACTCAGTCCTCTACTGTGACGCATTCTTGATAAAATTGCCATCAGAAAGAGCATTTAGTATATGTGCCTGTTATGATAACTTTGGTAGCGTTGAATTTTCATAGAATCACACAAAACTGTAGCACTGTGAGTAAGTATTGTTGAACTGAAAACGATGCCAGAAGCAATATGAAAGTATTTGATAAAAGTGTGTATTTGGCTTCAAATCTGGCAAGCTCATGAGGTCATGTGCTGCTAATCTGTGTGACATTCAGTTTCTATTTTTGCCGTCCAAGAGCTAGGTGCATTGTACCAAGCCTGTGTGCTCACTATCTGGAAGTAACTTTTTATAATGGCATTCATAGCTGATGATGAGCAGATAGGTTACGGCTTCTTTCATAGTGGCATTTATAAACTTTGCTGTAGGCGTACTCTTCATAGGATTATGTAGGTGTAAGTGGAATTTACTTGCTATTGTGGAAGTTACATGTCTGACTTCCCTGTGAAAATGGCATCTTGCAGCTAGTTTTCCCCACTGTTCTCCTCCAGTGAAACTCACTGTGTGATGTGACCTCATCTCTCTGTGTGTCTCCCCACCCAACGGTGGTACCGATGATATGAAGACAGGAGGGGAAACTTGAAGTATGCAAGCATCATATCCTGCAGAAAGATATATTAAAATGCACAAGGAAAGAGGGAACAACCAGTCACAGGGGAGAAGTTCTGGTTGCTTTCCTCGCAGTTAATCCTTTCCCCAGTTACTATGCTATACATAGACTTATGTATGAAGTGGATTTAATGGAGCTTGCACATACACGTCTCGGTACAGTTTTGTAGCCACACTGCATGCATAGCTGTGCCAGAGCTGATGGGTCTTCATTCTGGTGCAAGAGCAGAGCTTGCTCTGAGTATGGCTTCAATTGTGCTGTCTACACAAGGTCTTCTACACTATTCTTTAACAGATAACTGTCCTCTTGTATTACTGTGCTGGCATGTTGTGTATTTCCAAGTGAGATTGTCATGGTGCATAAACCCAACTAATTGGCATGTTGTGTATTTCCAAGTGTAGGGGAGATTGTCATGGTGCATAAACCCAACTAATTATAATAATGAGATTATGAAGTACTGTAGTGGGTTTCATTTAGATTAGGCTGGGCAGCTCATATCTGTAATCTTGCATGTGAGTTTGGTATGCTTCTGGCTCTGCTTGACCAGTCACAGTGGTTTATTGAGTATGTAAATCCTTTAGTGTTAACCCGCCATAATTTGTTGAAGAAAGGAACATGGCCAAAATTGTGTGCCAGCTATGAAGACTCGATGGTTTGTTTTAAGGATTATGTCACTATCAAGTCACTTGAAAACCTTCTTTCTGATATGGCCTCTTACACTAATTATTTTGTTATCAGAACCCTTCCTCTATTAACCTGTTTCTAAAATTGCTTAAAGAGTAGCTATGGTGATCTGCTGAATCAAGAACTACAAAGCAGAGTCTAATTACCACCATCATGCAAGAACTACTGTACAAAGCAGAGTCTAATTACCACCATCATTATCTTAGAACTGCAAAGCTGGAAGGGACCCTATGGATCATCGAGTCCAACCCCTTATCAAAGAGGCACAGTGGGGGAATTGAACTCCCAACCTCTGGCTCTGCGTCCGGATGCCTAAACCACTGTGCTATCCAGTTATGGTACCTTAAAGACTCAAAAGTATTCAGCTCTCGTACTCAGAGGCATAACTTGCCATAATTTTAAATGTTTGCCTACCTCTCTCAGCCATTTTCTTTGCACTTTTCTTTGGCTAGTGGGCTTTGGAAGTTCAGTTAACCATAGAATGATAGAATAATTGAGTTGGAAGGGACCTATAAGGCCATTGAGTCTAACCTCCTCCTCAATGCAGGAATCTAAATCAAAGCAGATCTGACAGATGGTTGTCCAATTTTCTCTTGAATGCCTCCAGCATTGGAGCGCTCACCAACTCCCAAGTTAAGTAGGACCATTGTTGTGCTGTTCTAACAGTTCGGATGTTTTTCCTGATGTTCAGCCTAAATCAGGTTTCCTATTGCTTGAGCCCATTATTACATGTCTTGCACTCCGGGATGACTGAGAACAGATACTCGCTTCCTCTGTACGGCAGGTTTTTAAATATTTGAAAAGTGCTATCATACATCTCCTCTGTCTTCTTTTCTGAAGGCTAAACATGGCCACTTTTTCCAGGGGCTTGGTTTCCAATCCCCCGATGATCCTTGTTGCCCTCCTCTGAACTTGTTCCAGTTTGTTGGCATCCGTTAACGTGCAGTGTCCAGAATTGTACACAATACTCAAGATGAGGCTTAATGAGTGCAGAATAGAGGACAACTTGTACCTCACAGAATTTGGAGACTATACTTCTGTTAATTCATCCTAAAATAGCATTCGCCTTTTTTGCAGCCACATTGCACTGTTGGCTCATATCCAGCTGTTGATCTACAACAATTCCAAGATCCTTCTCACTTGTAGTATTACTGAGCCAAATATCTCCATCTCATAACTGCATTTCATCACCAAATCACCAACACCAAGTAGATCCTGCAGATCTGAAATCTGTCCGCTCCTGTAGCTATTTGCATAAAGTACAAGAAGCACTATCCTGTACTAGCCTTTCGCTCAGTTAGCTGTTCTCCCTCTGTCTGGAAAAAAGGGCTACTTGAGCACTAATGCATGAAGCAGAATTACATCCCATCCATATAACATGGGATAAATTATTGATCAATATTTGATGTTGACGACGACAGTAACACCAGATCCTTCTTTGTTACCTGTCCAGTTGGTGAGGTGCAGGAAGTGGCTTAGTGAACTGCAACAAAACTGTCACTGTTTTACTTCAGACCCTTCATAATGAAGTAACGGTTCTGTCTCTTTCAGCAGTGAAAGTGCATATGATTTGATTTATTTGTATTTTATTTACACATGTGGATGTTTGGCTGTTATACTATACTATCTGGTACAATTCAAGTAATTACCCTCTGCTTAGTGATTTGGGGTGACTGTCAGAGGCTGTAATATAACAGGAAACAGTGAGTTAAAAGCTAATGTGGTGACCTCATCTCTATTCATTAAGCTCTAGAGTATATGCTGCACTGGAGAGGGACTTGAAAATTGTATCAGTCCATTTAATACCACAAGTTAATCTGTGTTCATTTGGATACCTAAAGCTATCTGATAGTACTGTGATGGTTTCAGTTATAACTGGGAAAGAATTTGCAGAGGAATTTAGTCCTGTTCACATGGTTTTCTCCCTGCTTGCAGGCATTTCTCTTATTGTTAAAACAGAATCCTGTGATGCAGTCCTCATTTTTTGGTGGTCTGTGAAATTCTTCCCTGTGTAAAAATTGGCATGGCATCCAGGTAATTCACAAACTAAGAAGTTGCATATAAGACTGAGATGTTTCTATCATTAGCTTTATGTAAGCAGTTTCCCTTCCCTGTTTAGATGAACGGCTGGCTCTTTAACGTTAGAGCTGTGTTCGTCTACAATAGGTGTCACTGTGCTGTCGGTCCAATCGCTGTTTGTGACTTCAGCTATTGGCTCCGAACACTGCTTGTCTGACTCCCGTCTGCAGGGCTCGAACACCTCCTGTGCTCACCATCCATTCAACACACAACTTGAGCCAGCTGACAAACAGGCAGCACGTCTTGCTGTCCTACTTGCTTTGCCACAGCCTGGCAGTTTCAGGTGATTTCGGTCTGCAGCCGTTTAGGGAAAGCTCTCACAAGCAAATGAAACAGGGAATCATGATGGGGAGACGTTTAACCGATCAAGTCCTGGATCAAACTTAAAAAGGAAATAATCTTATTCAGCCTACTGGAAAAGGTCACCTTGCCTTGCTTAAAAAAAAAAGAAGAAGACGCGCACTCTCAGCTTTGCTGCTGTATTGTTTAGAAACCTTCTGCTGTCTTCTTTCCCTCTCTCTCTTTAGTTAGTTAAGCTATCTGATTACTCTGACAAGGATACTCATGGTAGATGACAAGGGAAAGAACATGAAATGTCTCACCTTCTTCTTGATGCTTCCAGAGACAGTTAAGAACCGGTCCAAGAAAAGCTCTAAGAAGGTAAACAGTGGCAGTGGCAGCAGCAGTAGCAGCAGCAGCAGCAGCGGAGGCAAATTGCCTCCAGTTTGCTATGAAATCATTACCTTGAAGACTAAAAAGAAGAAGAAGATGGCTGCTGATATTTTCCCCCGAAAGAAGCCAGCTAACAGTAACGCAACTGCCGTCCAACAGTACCACCAGCAAAATATCAACAACAACAACATTATCCCAGCTCCCAACTGGCAGGGGCTGTACCCCACCATCCGAGAAAGGTAAGGAAGTTTCCTTTGTTATGTGTTTCCCAGTTCGTGAACTGTAGGTAGTGAAATGTTCCATCACTTTAGGATAGCATGTTTTCCCCTTCATTCATTGGTTTTGAAGAGAAGGGGAAATATTTCTCCTTTCCAACAGTACTGTTGTTTTCTTCTTCTAATAATGATGATAATAATAATAAAATGCATGTTTGCATGCGCTGTTGTTTTCTTCTTCTAATAATGATAATAATAATAATAATAAAATGCATGTTTGCATGCAAGCTGGGTTTTTTTAACCTCTTAACTATTTGCAGTCACAAAAACACATGCTTTATGTATTAGTCTGTGTATTTTCTCACAAAATTTGGTATTTTGACTTCTGGGAAAGTTTGTACCAAGTTTTTTTTTCTTTTGATGTGCTTTAAGCAGACACATAGACCTTGATAAATGATCAATGAGGCTGAAGTGATATAAACATTCTCACGTGAGAGTAAGCCCACCCCCCCAGCTCAGTAGGACTTACTTTTGAGTAGGCATGTATAGGATGGTACTGTAATTCATTTAAAATGCATTCTCTGTTTTTGTTTTCTGGGCTGCTCTTGGGAAAGTGTAGCATCTTAAGGAGCTGAATTGCAGGGATGCAGAGAAGGAATCTGGTGCCAAGCAACCTGAATTAACATATTGCCTCTGTTTGTAGAAATGCGGTGATGTTCAACAATGACTTGATGGCAGATGTTCATTTTGTGGTTGGGCCACCAGGTGGGACCCAGCGATTGCCAGGACACAAAGTAAGCAACAGCTGCCCTTCTGGATCTGATGTGGGGGGAAAGCAAGGGAAACATCTATAGTTACTGGGATAGGAGGTTTGGATACTAGAACTGACACACTTATAGAAGCTTTTAAACATCTTTGCCCTATGAAGTACTTTTTTTCTAGTTAAAGATTTCATTACTGTAATAAATGATAATCCCCCTTCCCAAAGTATAGTTTGGTATATGGTATCATCATTTTCTTCTCCGAAATTGGTTAACCATCTTTCACATTTTAAATCCTTTCCAGCAACGGTGTGAAATAGGCTGAGACAATTAACTTACTCATAGTCACCCCATTCGTGGGGGATTTGGACTCACAATCACATGTATTACCCTCGTAAGCTCCTGAGCTGATGGTCTCTCAGTGAAGATAGTGTAGTGTCGGAGTGGCAGAATCTTCGAGAGTTGAGTAGATTTTTTTCTAAGGGGAAGAGGAAAACTGCAGCTCTCCTAGTAATCTTTCCTAGGGATGCTGAGAGTGAAAGTGAAGATGCACCATATTCTGTTTTCTGATTTTTGCCCTTGTGGCCTTATTTTTAACTCTCATTGTGACTCTAGTATTTCTCTTTTTCTGTTGGCAATGGATTTCGTTCTAAAGCATGAAATAATACTTCCCCTTTTGAACAGTATGTTTTAGCCGTTGGAAGCTCGGTATTCCATGCAATGTTTTACGGAGAGCTTGCTGAGGACAAAGATGAAATCCGTATACCAGATGTGGAGCCTGCTGCTTTCCTCGCTATGCTAAAGTAAGCATCCATCTTCATTGCTAGGAGTGAGTTTGTTTGTACCTGCTCTAATCAGGTCAGAATTTTTTAAAAAACTACATAGTTTTGAAATCTTATAAAGCAAAAAATAGAAGTGGAAACTTATAGAAACAGGGCACCTATGTTTAGGAGTTAATTATTAAAAACTTTAAATTTACATATTCTAAAACACACATACACACACACACACAAATCTCTTGCATATGAAGGAAATGTCTTCAGTGGTCAGTTTGGGAAAGTTCTTTAAAAAACAGAATGGTAATAAAAATGAGCTTGAAAACCATGGTGATGAGGAAAGATGCCAAACTGCTGCATTTTTATGTATTTGCACATTTCTACTCTTGTGCAGCTCAGCTACAGCTGATAATGTAAACTGGCCAATCATAGTCACTGATAGCATCTTTGTCTATAGGTTATATGACGTTTAAAAGCCGACAATAATATATTTCTCTGAAGCCCCTGGCTTTGCACTTTCTGCTTGAGCTTAAGAGAGCACAAGCAGTATTATTTATATGTGATCCAGCACTCCATCTGGCTTCTTCTTTTGCATGATGAGTGGGATGTAAGGAAAAGCAAGTTGCCTTCCTACTGTGCTATCTATAAACTCAAGGTTTAAACCAGAAAGCTGTATTTGGAAGCACCTATAATTTCTTGTGCAATAAAATATTCCTTGGTTTCTTCTCCTAACTGTTTCCCATGTTTGGTCATACCTGCCAAGAATGCTTTCAGCATGGCCTCAAATCCTTCCCCCACTGACTTTGGCTAACTATCTAGTCTCTTGACTGGGTTGTCTGTAATGGTAAAGAAATTGGTCCAAAACTTTTCTATATAGACTGATATGTGTTCCCCATAGCTGCAATTAGTCAGTTCACAAATGTATGTGGAACATCCCAGGAAGATTTTAATACAAGGGAGGCAATGGCGCCAAACATGCCAACGAGAAATACTTATTGATTTTATAAGTTAGAAATTGCAAAGATAGTCACACGGGTAGTTTGTGGACTGTGGAGCAACTACAACCCAGAATTTTGGGCATTCGCCTACTCCAATCACAACCTGCTTACATGTAATCATATTTACTTTTTTAGTATTATTTTAATGTTAGCTCTTGATGGAAACATGGTTTTGTCAAGCTAAATCTGTGTAAGAACCAGTGGTGCCTTAACTAGTTGATCTGACATCTTTTGGTGTGTGGTCTCAGAAAAATTGATTTGCTGCTTGATACAGCTCAGTAATACAAATTGGTTCTCTCTTGCTAAACACAGGTGCTAGGAGACGTACCCTATTAGGACTCAATCTGGTGCACATTTATGGGTACTTAACTCCTGTTTCTTTCAATAGACTCATGATTTCAATAGGCCTTCAGGTGTATTCAGCTGTGTACTTGATTGCATTTATGTGTACAGAATGAAAAACCTAGATTTCAGAAGAGGTGGATAGATTCATCCTAATGAATATTTGTTTAATACTCACAATTCACCTTAAGCTGGACAAAAGTACTAATTGTCATGAAGTGTAGATCTCCACTGACAAATGCATAATTGTTTAAATACCTTTGTTTACAAATAACATTAAACTAGGGTGTGACACTATACAGTGTGGCTCTGAGCTGATTTTGTGATCCTCAGTCATAGAATCATAGAATAATGGAATTGGAGGGTGCCTAAAAGGCCATTGAGTCCAACCCCCTGCTCAGTGCAGGAATCCAAATCAAAGTGTATCTGACAGATGGTTGTCTATTTTTCTCTTGAGTGCCTCTTGCATTGGAGTGCTCACTGCCACTGTTAGAGCAGTACAACAATGGAACCAGTTATCACCTCTCAAAGTAATTGGTCCCATTGTTGTACTGCTCTAATAATTAAGAAGTTTTTCCTGATATTCAGTCAAAATCTGTCTTAATACCTTTGTTTACAAATAATATTAAACTAGGGTGTGACACTACAGTGGGCCTCTGAGCTGATTTTGTGACCTTCAGTCGTAGAATCATAGAATAATGGAATTGGAGGGTGCCTAAAAGGCCATTGAGTCCAACCCCCTGCTCAGTGCAGGAATCCAAATCAAAGTGTATCTGACAGACGGTTGTCTATTTTTCTCTTGAGTGCCTCTTGCATTGGAGTGCTCACTGCCACTGTTAGAGCAGTACAACAATGGAACCAGTTATCACCTCTCAAAGTAATTGGTCCCATTGTTGTACTGCTCTAATAGCTAGAAAGTTTTTCCAAATATTCAACTGAAATTTAGTTTCCTCTAATTTGAGCCTGTTAGTATGCCTCCTGCACTCTGGGATGATTGAGAACAGATTCTGCACTTCCTTAGCATGACAGTCTTTCAAGTATTTGAAAAGTGCTATCATATCTCCCCTCAGTCTTCTTTTCTCAAGGCTAAACATGCTCAGTTTCTTCAATCTTTCTTCCTAGGACTTGGTTTCCAGTCTCCTGAACATCCTTGTTGCCCTCCTCTGACCTTGTTCCAGTTTGTTGGCATCCTTAAAGTACAGTGTCCAGAACCAGACACAGTACTTAAGATGAGGCCTAACCAGTGCTGAAGAGAGGGGAACCAGTACTTCACAGTATGTGGAGACCATACTTGTGTTAATGCAGCCTAGAATAGCATTTGCCTTTTTTGCCCCTACCTCCTGCAGGTGTAGAACTTTGCACTTATCCTTGTTAAATGTCATTCTTTTCATTTATTCCCAGTGCTTGAGCTTATCAAGATCTCTCTGAATTTTGTTTCTGTCTTCCTAGACATTAGCTTTTCTACCGAATTTTGTGTCGTTCACAGATTTGATAAGCATTCACTGCCACTCTCTCATCCAAGTCACTATGGCCCCACCTCCTGCAGGTGTAGAACTTTGCACTTATCCTTGTTAAATGTCATTCTTTTCATTTATTCCCAGTGCTTGAGCTTATCAAGATCTCTCTGAATTTTGTTTCTGTCTTCCTAGACATTAGCTTTTCTACCGAATTTTGTGTCGTTCACAGATTTGATAAGCATTCACTGCCACTCTCTCATCCAAGTCACTAAGAAAAGTATTGAAGAGCACTGGAGCCAGAACTGAGCTGTGTGGTACCCCACTTGTTTTATCCTCTCAGTTTGAGAAGGAGACATTGATACACACTCTCAGAGTACAATTCTGTAACCAGCTGTGTATCCACCTGACAGTTGTTCTAGCCAGTCCATACATTGTTAGCATACTAATCAGAATATCATGGGGCACTTTGTCAAAGGCTTTGCTGAAGTCAAGATAAATTTACATCTGCAGCATTCCCACCATCTACCCAGAGAGGTTACCTGATAAAAAAAATAGGGTAAGATTAATCTAGCAGGATTTGTTCTCAACAAATCTGTGTTGACTTCTGGTTATCACTGCATTGTTTTAAGGTGCTTGCAGAGTGACTATTATCTGCTCCAGAGTTTTCTCTGTAATTGATGTCAGGCTGACTAGTCTATAGTTTCCAGGTTCCTCCTGTTTGCCCTTACTGAAGATATTGACAATATTAGTTCCCCACCAATCAGCTGGATTTCACCCATCCTCCATTATTTCAAGAAAATAATAGACAGTGTTTCTGAGAGTTCTTCAGCTGGTTCCATCAGTACATTTGGATGCAACTCATCCAGCCCTGGAGATTGGGACTCGTTCAAAGTAATACAATATTTCTTGACTATTTCTTTATCAATCACAAGCAGCAATCCAGTCTCCTCCACTTGTACTTTACATTTGCTTGGAGAGTCATAAACTGTCTTTTGGGAAAATACGGAGCTAAAGTAGGAATTGAGCACTTCTGCAATTATAAACTGTCTTTTGGGAAAATAAGGAGCTAAAGTAGGAATTGAGCACTTCTGCCTTTTCTGTGTCATCTGTTATCATTTTCCCATCCCCACTGAGTACCTGAGCCAGTTTCTTTTCTCTGTCTTTTGCTACACACATACCTGAAAAATACTTTTTGTTGTTTTTAGCATCTCTTGCTAACCTCAGTTCCTTCTCAGTTTTTTCCTTCCTAACACCATCCCTGCAATTCTTTACTCCTTGTCTGTACTCTTCCTTTCTAGCTGGGCCTTCCTTCCATTTCCTATATGTGTCCTTTTTTATTTTTCAGGTCCTCTCTGAACTTTTTGTGAAGCCATATTGGTCTTTTTTGCTGCGTTTTTTTTCTTACTGTAATTGTTTGCAGTTGGCTGCATTTTTTTCTTACTGTAATTGTTTGCAGTTGTATCTAGTTTCCTTTTTAAGAATCTCCGACCTATCTTGGACTCCTTTTCTGTTAAGATCTCCTGCCATGCATAGGACCTTACTTATGATTGTTATGTGTTATTAAAATTGGCTTTCCTAAAATCTAGTGTATACGTGTGGCTACATTCTACTTTTATTTCCTTTGAAATAAAAAAAATTCAAGTAGAACATAGTCACTTTCCCCCAGAGTTCCTCTTGCTGCCACTTCTTCCACTAAGTCATCTCTTATTAGTTAGAATGAAGTCAAGGATAGCTAAACTTCTTCCACTAAGTCATCTCTATTAGTTAGAATGAAGTCAAGGATAGCTATTCCCCTTTCTTTCTCCACCTTTGGTAGGAGAAAATTATCAGCCACATAAACCAGGAATTTCTTGGAAGGGCCATATTTGGAAGAATGTACCTCCCAACAGATATCAAGATATGGTAATTAAAATCTCCCATTACTACTACATTGTGTCTCTTTGAAATCCTTGCAGTTTCTTTTTCAGAGATTTAATCCACATCTTCTCCTTGATCAGGCGGTTGATAGTAGACTCCAACCAGCATCTGCTAGGCACATATTAACAAGTAAAAATGTGGTTTGAAAGCCGTTAATATCAGCAATGCACTTTTTAAATAGGTCATGTACTGTTTAACACCAAAAAAACTCTGTGTGTTTTTTGTTGTTGTTTCACAAAATTAGAAGTGGGCTTCTGGATGTTCCTGGTTTATTATTGTGTTTTTTTCTCTTGGGGGAAGTTGTTTGTTTGAAGGGTTAGCATTGTTTTGTTTTGGTCTTTCTTGGCATTTTTGGCAGTTTGTGTCCCATTCCCCCCCAGCTTCCAGCTGACACTGAAAACCCTTCAGATGAGAAGTGCATGTTAAAGCGTTTGGCTTTCTATGGGGCTTATAATTTCCCTGAAATGACTTGTCATTGCCTTGCAAGGTACAGAAACACAGATCTTTTTCACAGGAACGTCAACAAAATGAACATTAAACTTTTACAGATCAGTTGAAAATATTGTGGAACTCTCAGCCTTAGTACTAAGTACTTTTAAATCATTGCATGATTATAGCTTTTCCCCAATACTGAATCATCACTAGTGCTTAAACAAGTTTGCTTTATTATGTGAATACTGCAAAAACCTTTTGGTCCTGTCCTTTGCCAGAAATATTATTTTGTTATTAATTGCCAGTTTCCATTGTGATCTTCAGACTGGATAGTCAGTGGTTTAAGTCAATGGCTGTGGGGTCAGAGGTTGAAAGACTGATTCCCTACTGCGCTTCCTTGACAGGGGCTGGACTTGATGATCTGCAGGATCCCTTCCAGCTCTGCAGTTCTAAAATTATAAGACTTATATACAAGAGGCAGTTTTGAAGTTTAGATGTCAGGGATGAATTGCATCCAGAGTGTACAGCACTGTGCATGTGAAAGAAAAGACACTTCTCTTTATTCAGTGCCCTAATCAACACCTCCTCCCTTCCTTTTAGCTTCATTACCAACCAGCACAAGGAAGCTGTGGAATGAGAGATCATACAGGTTGAATACGCCACAGTACCTGTGCTTTGGAGCCTATCCTTAGTTTACTTTGGAGGGCACCTGAGGTTCTTCAGGTCTGGCTCATTCCTGGGAGAGTCTCCCATGGACCTGTATGCAGAGAATTGTGGAACGTGTTCTCTAGAGCATTTTGAATTCATTGGATTGGCAGGAGCAGGAGGGATAGCCAACTGAGGCAGAGCCACACTAGCTACATCCCATGAGTGACCCTATGGCTTTGTGGAGGGCAAGAAAATGAGAGTCCTGCTGGATCAGACAGTGGATCCACAAAGTATTTATTTATTTATTT